AGAAATCATGAGACCAAAGACATATAAACAAGGAGTAAGAAAGGGAGCTTGATGATCTGAGCAAACTGCCACACCCAAGGACCACCAGGGTCCTGAGTTCTCAGATATCCAGAGAGATTTCCCCCAGCCTCCTTCCTGTCTGTTTTCCTTGCAAACAACACCGACAAGCAATGCAATAAATGCCTGTCATGTGGAGGACACAGAGGACGGGTTACAAAAAAGGGAAGTTCTTCGCCTTTTCTCAGCTTCAAAGGATCCACATAAAGAAAGCAGAATTATCATTGCTCACCCATAATCTCTAGAAAGATTAGTGATGTTTCTCGCTTTTCTTTAAGCTCCCCGCACGTTATTAGATTTCTGTCTGATGTCCTTTCGGCATCTCCAGCCCCACCCAAAAGGGGTTAAGCACACTGGTGGAAATCCCCTGAGCAAGCTAGCACATGCTGTACCAAAATATTATGTCTTGACTTTGTTCTTTTACATCTTCACAACTAAAGGAAAGAGATACAATCAAAATGATAGTCCACTTAAATGATAAACAAGAGAATTTAAAGAGACATGACCCAATTGCTCAACCATGGAGTGACAGTTCATGAGAAGCTTATGAGATCTGGGTTGATGGAGATGTATACATATATTTCTCCTTAACTCTTTTTACATAGTTTTGAGAATTTTTCATTGTAGATTTCTAGAAAGCATGTTAAGCTTGATGTGTAAAATACACTTTGTGAATAAAATGTGTTTGTAATGAAGCTTTCAAAACAAGATTAGAAACAAAAGCATAATTGATTACCTGATTCCCAAATCATTTCTCATTTTGGTTGGGAGAATTTTTTAAATTTCAAAAAGAAGCCCAGACACGTAGCAGGGATAGAATATGCCACCTTAGTTGAATTCTTTTCCTGAAACTTCTCTATGGTGTATAGTAAAGCACAAGACATTATAATAGAGGCAAATCACATCTGTCCCTGAGATCCCCTCATACTTGAGGAGGAGTTTTCAAAGATAAGTGAAAATAACCCACCTCCTCTTTCTAATTGTATTACATCATCTCAATAAGTCATGACAAGAGAAGCTAAGTCATTCAGCTTTCAAGGACTAATTGTATTTAAACTCTGGAGCTCCTGGGGGACTAATCACATTCAGACTTGCAATCCATGGTTCATCTATGTTTATTTAGTTATTTTATAGATCCATGTTAATGGTGTAGATATAACATAATTCCATAACTTCCTACTCATTCAGATGTTCTAAACGACTTCCTTTACAATCAGTCTTTCTTCTCCTTTCCAAACAGAGTCACCAAAGAACAAAACAAAACAAAACAACTGTACCTTATGGACTAGATCCAGGTTTCTAACTGAAATAAATCTCTTTATATCTAGTAAATCTAACTAACATAACTACAAGATTGACTATTATAGATGACTATCTATTAACCTATATTTCTTAATTACACATTACATTTTAAATGAGCTACACAAACATAATACCTTAATCAAGAACAGAAATATACATATAACAAAATTGACCTTAAATTTTTATCAATAAACCAAGATCATACCAACACAAATCTCTGTAACATATCCCCTTTTAAGTGTAAACAAACATTTATAGACAATATTTGGGAATATGGACAAAGTTCTGTCCAAACTGCTTCCTGTTGTTTATTGGGTGAAATAATTTTTTGAGGGGTATTTAAGGCAACCTTTCAGGGGATCTTAGTCCATCAAACCACATTAGTCTGGAAGGATTTCATAGGTTCTCATCCTTTGTGGAAACAAAAGAAGAACCTCTTTTCTAAAGCAACATATCTTTAGTTCCATATTTTGAAACCAAGATACCTTTAAAGTATATATGCTGATTTAGCTTAACAATACCTATAATCAAATGTCTCTCTGCAGTCAAAAAAATTCAAAGAAAACACAATAATATACATAATCCAGACTCTCTGTGTACATTCCATCTTTATGTGGCTTATTTTATTTTTTCTACAAGTTTAATATTTATTTTACTATCTTTGCTCCTTTAACCTATTACTGTATTACTCTTTTATATTACATTTACTGTCTCTTTAGTCTTATCTTCTCTATCCCAAGCCTATGTACATTTTTTAATCACTAGGTCTCATTTAAAGGTCTTTTATGTCTGACTCTGTTTTATTGTGCTTCTGTAATTCTTTATTTTACAGGAGTGCTTGTTAAAATGCTAAGCCCTTATTATGAACTTAAGGTACAGCATTACTAGGGGAAACATGGCCTTGTCTGCTTGCTCCACCCAGTCCAACACCTCTGCAAGCTGTACACATTGCCCCAGTTCCAAGAATGCAGCAGTTCCATGTAAAGCCATTAAGTAGTTGTAGCACTCTACACTCAAAACCCATTTAAATGCTTGATAGCTGGGCCTCGTCAGAGTTCACACTGGCAGCATGGCTCAAAGAGTTGGCATTTCAAAACTGTGCCATTTTTTTTCTGCTTTGGCTGAATCAGGAAAACCTCTCCTAAAGGAGCTGCAGTACACCACCAGCAAACAGCAAGAAGCTGTGTTAAACTCTGTATTTTTGTGTCTAGAATTCCTTTCCAAGCCCTCTCAGGTTTTAAGTAGATTTTAGTCAACCACATTGGTGCCAATTTGTAGAAAGGAGGACCGCTTGTTTATACCAGCTGCCTAGACCTGAAATAATCACACAGTAACTGTATTAATTAAATCTCTGCCTAGCCCATTAATTCTAGCTTCTTATTTGATAACTCTTACAAATTAATTTAACCCATTTCGATTAATCTGTGTATCGCCATGAGGCTGTGGCTTACCAGCTAAAGTTCTGGCATCTGTCTCTGGCATGGCTACATGCCTTTTCTTCTGACTCCTCCTTCTTTCTTTTAGCATTCAGTTTAGTTTTCCCCACCTACCTAACTTCTGCCCTGCTATAGTTTCAAAGCAGTTTCTTTATTCATTAATGGTAATCACAGCATACAGAGAGAAATACCACATCTTGTTTTAAACATTTTGAGAGAGAAATTATGTAGAGATTGTAAGAAGCTTTCTGAAGCCAGAAAGTTTTAGTTTGTGTGTCATGCAATGCCCCCTTTGCCCACTCATCTCTGCTGTTGTTGCATGAAACCAGCTGTAGACAATACACAAACAACTGTGTAACATTGAACTCTAATGATGAACTGCTTATGAAAAAGACAAAGGATCGGATTTTGTTGCTGGGTTAGAGTTTGCTGACAGTTGCATTTACTAACCCCTGCCTGCCTGTGCTGAGTAGTTAAATACAGGTCTGTACTAGAGATATGCAGAGTACATAGTAGACATGCTTGCTGCTTTTATACACCGAAAGACTAAGTATAAAATGTTGTAAATGAACCTTTAATAGTTCATGAATTATTGGGTCTTCATTTTGTAAATTTGTTTGTTTTTAGAAAATGCATATTTGTGTACGATGTATTTGAACTCTAACCACCCTCCACTCTCTGCTGCTTCCCCTACTCTTCTCCGCACTTCATGTCCATTTTCTTAATAACATACAGAGCCCGATTAGTGCTGCTTTTGTGTTTATTAGTATAGGACTGTCCACTAGAGCTTGGGCAATCTACCACGGGGCACATTTTTAAAGGAAATGGATTCTTGTTCCCCTAGTATTTATCAAGTTACCAGTAGGTTCTCAGCTAAGGATGGGACCTCATGAGTCCCTCCCTTATCCATGTTGGACTGTTGATTGACTTGTTATTGTACCAGTCTTGTTTAGGTAACCACAGCTGCTATGAAATTATGAATGCAAAGGTCCTATCATTCTAGAATAGATGATTCCACAGTATCTCTTTCTAGTCCCTGGCCCCTGGCCCTTCCAATTTTCCCTCCTCTCTTTCATTTTTATTGAGACTTTGAGAGGAGTGATTCATGGCTGGTACTATAAACCTGGACAAGAACCCTTGCCTGGGGAGGACATAGTACATAAGGCAAAATATACTAGCATTACATAGTTGAAAAGAAATAATATCAAACTGCCTTCTAGATATGGGTGTCTTTATACCCAAAGAATAGTGCAACCTCACCCCTCATCAGAGAAGCAGTTTTCTCACTGCATGGCAGTTAATGAAGACTCCCAACTGTTCAGAGAGCCAAGAACTGGGAGTGACCTCTGGGAGTTCAGTCATAAGTGGGACAGTTATATCCTAGCAATATTTTTCTAAAACAAAGTCTACTCAAACTACCAATTGCTGAACATTGTGAGTTTGGATTTCTGCCGTGTGATCCTTTTAAAGTGGGCCCTAAGATCTCTTGATCCATCACTTGAAATCTAGCACCTTGCTCAAAAGGGAGCAGTTAAATTTGGGTGCCTCAAGAAATAGTTGTCATAAGTCACCTTTTGAGGTGACTTCTACCACAGTCCTACTCAGGGTATGTTCGTATGTTCCAGGGTAGGGTTTTGAGGGTTAGAAATGTTAAGTAGGAGGAACAGAGTTAAGAAAGCAACGTTAAGTAGGAGGAACAGAGTTAAGAAAGCAACACAGAGACATAGTATAGTAACAGGAGGGCAACTCAATGAACACTGAATACTGAGTTCACTCACATTTATTTTCCATGTGCTTTTATACCCCTCTACAAAATGGGGGGCAAAGACTACTTTAGCAAGACACAAAGGGCAACCAAAAGAGTTATTTGCTTCAGTACTTGAGGCATCAAGTCATTATTTCCTGAGTAAAGAATTTGATGTTCCAGGCAAGAATATGCAGGGAACACACCCTAGACAAAGTATTCTGTAGGCAGCCATTCCCTATGTCAAATCTCCTAATTCAAATGAAGGAACATAGGAGTATGCTTGAATTCTTAGACCTTTGTTTCAGGGTGGAGTGGATCCACCCCTATGGGCCATCTTAGTGTCCAAAGTACCAAGTAGCCACACCCTAAGTCAGGATATGTTATTTTGTAGCCACACTTGTTGTCAACAACTTTGAAAGAGCAAAAATACGCTCAAACTCTCCGACCTTCAGACAAGGTGGAACAGGCTCACACCTCTGTGTGTCCCAACAAATACTGATTCAGAAAAAAATATCACGTTCTACCTCTCTGTTTTCTCTACCTCTGCTCAAAGCAGCAATCCTTTTGCTCAGACTTCCTGTTTCTGACACTCGCCTTGTTCTGTAATGTGTTCATAGTTCCCCGTCTGTGGTTAAGTAGGCACAGAGCTGGTTTAGTCTTCCCCTGCTCTCATTCATTTGCACACACAAGCGTGCTTCTCTCTTCTCTCTCCCAGAATGATGGTTCTGGGTAAAACTTTCGCGACAGTTTTCTGTTTATTTCAAGCTGTTTCGGGAGAAAGTGGCAATGCACAGAACGGTGAGTCATTTCTAACTTCTTTCTTAAAGGATTTCAGATCATCTTTAGCATATATGGACAGGTTCTTCAGTTCTAAACAGGCTGGAGCTGGACAGCAAGAACTTAACATGTGTTTGGTTATGTTGTGTGTATTAATCACCAGGACAAAGGACCTGAGGACAATACTGCAGATGGCTCGTAACTCACAGCAACTGTTGAGAAGTAATGTATTTCAAACTCTGGCTCATAAATGTGGATAGAGGCTAGTGATCTCAGAAAAGAAGTCTTATATCAATTTTTTGATTGTGCTTGTTGGAGAATCTCTTCCAGAATTGTACCTGCCAGAAAAAAAAAATCAAGCTATCTTTGTTTTGCTGAACTGTTTATGGAGTTCTAAAACCATAGATATTCACAATAAATGAATGATCAGAAGCAATAAGTTTGTGCATTCACCAGAATTTTATTTCTGGTGCCTAGAACATGGGAATTACTTGATAATGTATTTCTTCTATATAACTTTAGCTTTGACAGATTCATGTTAGATTGCTAATGAATAATTCAGTAGAGTGTTGAATAAAGTCTTATTTGAAATGCACAGGATTGCTTTTGTATTCAGCAAATCCATCATATGACCATTGTAATTCTCTTTGTAATGCATAAAACCCTTAGATCCGACTCCTCAAAACTATGCATTCTAATTACAAGGCTGTGCTCAAACGTGTCTAAAAGTTACAGGAGCCACATTTGTTTCTACAATAAGTTGTTTTCACACACACACACATACACAGAGAGAGAGAGAGAGAGAGAGAGAGAGAGAGAGAGAGAGAGAGAGAGAGAGTCTTTGCCTCCTGAGTGCTGGGATTAAGGCATGTACCACCATGCCTGGCCTACACGTGCATTTGTTAATTGAATGTACCTGTTTCCACATACCTGTAACTCCAGAGCATGGGAGTCTGAGACAGGAAGATCATGAGTTTCAGGCCAGCCTAAGTTACAGAGTGAAAGCTTGTCTTAAAATACATAAGTTTTCATTTCTTAAAGACAGTGTCAGTGTATGCCAGCCTCTAATGACTCAGCTTAACTCTTTTCAGTTAAGTTCCCTTAGTCACGCTTTCCTAAGCCTTTGACGTTTGTGTCCGTTTGCCTAGTATCTGCTAAGGATGGAAATTCCTTGCTTTTTCTCACTAAGAGAATTGGCAGAGGAGTGACATTTTTCAGTGTGACTGAGCATGAGTCACTTTGTGAGGAAGAGTTCCTGGTCTCATGTTAAATGTGTGCAAACACATAGCAGGAAGCATGAGAATTTTATTGCTGTTTGATGCAAGACTTCGCCCCGATTTCTTCCTGTTGACCATACTATTTGTAAAAGAAGTGAAAATCCATGTTGAAAACTGAATTTTTACTTCAACCTTTTAAATTTCAAAGGGAGAAAAAAATCTATTAAAAAGCATGGAGGCAATCACATAATCATATCAAAATACTTTCTGGTTGTGCTTGAAGGAATTCACATGTAATCTCCTACTGTTGGTTGAAAGATAAAGTTAGTTTTCTAATAACTATGAGGATGATTAAAACAAGCATAGGAAGTATCCAAAGCCCGAACAGTTAACACCATTAACCGAGTAATCCTCCTGTGGGAAGAAATCTTTTAAATGACACTGCCTTGCTTATAAAATGTATTCCAAACGCTTTAAATTTCTATAGTTAGAATTTTTATTAAATGCTTAGCTATTTACTTGCCTACTAAGGATACTGACTGTTGAATGCTTAAGACATTAACTCAATCCATGTAATGTCAAAACAGCAGTAAGAAAAATAGCTGCAGTTGACAGATAATTTTTTTCAAAAGAACTCCAAGTGTTGCAAGTATATTTTCATAATTATAATTCACATCTTATCTTTTCATACTGATTTCTCAAAGACTGATAAGACAGCTCTCACCTTTACAGAGGACTTACAGTGACCTAAGAGAAACCTTTGTGTAGATCTATTCAGTAGCTCCTCCAAAGTGCATATATGCATCAGAACCTGAGCTTTGGAGTTCAAGTATACAGAAAGGGGACACAGTTACGAAGTTAGAACAGTGAGGGTTCACGTGCACATCTGTCCCAAAATGACATCACTCAACCACTGTGTACACAACTCTTAGTCAAGAGGTCTTCACCTCACATCAGGTGAATATTCTCCCACAATAGTATGTAATTTTACAAGTATTTATGGGGATGTTTTTTGGTTACAGAGCAACTGGGCCCCATTAACAACACCTCTTAAAGAGTCAATGAACTCTGTGTTCAAACATAGGTGCTTTGATTCCAGGAAAATTTGCATGATCAGTTACTTGAATATTGTGTGAGATAACTTGAGTCATATTTTGCCACACTGACTGGTTGGTGTCTGCAGAAGTCCTCCTTTTGGCTGGTTCCTGACAGCTGCTGGAAGTGTGCTTTCTCTTGCTCATGTCAAATATGAGTAAACTGTGTAATAAATGAGACCCGCGGGATGTCTAAATCCAAATAGGAATTCATATCCATTATATAGAGTTGGTGAAATGTTCAAGTAAAAGCAAAGGACAAGACAGTATGAGAACTGGGAGCTGCTGTGTACGGCTATGCAAATCCATCCAGCGCCGTTCCATTCTGAAACGTGACAGCTCTGAGAGGCGGACAGCTAAGTCTAGAAAATTAAAAATGAACCTGTTTCAAAATATGAACTCTTAAAATAGGGGCTGCTCCTTTGTTACTTAATCCTGTCAATGGGGAAAGCATACACAGAAAAGGTGCAAAGAAACTTGCTGATGCTCCAGTTGTGAAATGACTGGGTTCTGGGAAAGCTTAGAAAGCTAAAGGCCAGCTAGGCAGTGGTGATGCATGACTTAATCCCAGCACTCAGGAGGCAGAGGCAAGCAGATCCCTGGGTGTTAGAAGCCAGCCTGGTCTATAAAGTGATTTCCAGGACAGGTTACAAAGCTACGCAGAGGAACCCTGTCTCAAAAAGAGACAAAGAAAAAAGTAAAAGGAAAGCTAAATGCCTGTGGCTGTGAGCAGCGTCCACCATCCATGTGTAGATTTATTGCTTAGAATAGTCACTTACCTGGTTGGTCTGTTTGCAGCCAATTTTATTAACTTTTCAGCAGACCTTTGGGGTTCTTTAAATAAAGAAAATGCGATTGAAACTGCATATGGTTTCAAGTTGCTCAGGTGGGACCCATTGTTAGTATGTTCTGAGAGCATAGCAAAGCCTGAGAGGCAAGGAAATCTTTGCTTTGGGTGAGATTAAACACCTGGAAGCTGCCAGAGGCTCTACATATTCCACCTTAGTGATATAAACCTTTGATTGCTCTAGATTTTCCTGGTCCTTATTGGAATGTATGTGCTGAAAGATTTTCTGACTTTATTCTGTTCTCAAATATATTATATCTACACACACAAATACCTATTTAATCATGGGCTCGCCAACTCAGAATAGAAAATCAAGTAATATCTTTAACAAATTGTGGTTTACAAAAGTGGCTACCCAGACACAAAATTCCATTTCTTGCTTTCTGGTATTATAGAATACAGTAGAAAGGAAAACAAAAATCTCATCACATAGGCACTAACTTGGGCATCCTCGGGGTTTACTATTTTATAGTCAGAGTTGTCTCGATCAGTCATTTAAGACAAGATTCTTTCAATTCACACACAGTAGAAGCATTGAGATCACTCTTAGTTGTGATGCCCTTTTAGGGCATAGTGGGCAGTCTCATAAAAATGTGAACCTATACCTGAAATAGTTAATATCATATTTCATTTGAAAATAGTACTTGGGAGGGAACAAATGAAGACCAGTAAATGAAAACTAAGGTTGGATTAGGGGGCATATGAATGAAATAAAGGAGCTCTTCTTTGAAATATGTAAACATTTCAGGGTGGAAAAAAAAGATAATTTAAACATTTTACATTCACACAGGATGCTTGTTCACCAACATTTAACATCCTTCATAGTTGCCAGGCTTTTGGCTTTCCTCCATATGTTAGATCATGTGACTGAAGTATAGAATATACCCTTAATAAATACCTTCTAAATACAGTTTTAAAGTTGTGGCAAAGAAATCTGATATACTGATATAAACAGGGAAGAGGGTTCTTTCATGCTTTTTCTAATTTTCTAACATAGTAGTCCAATGGTAAAACAGCTTAAAATACACCTGGAACTTATTCCTTGACTATGGTAAGTTTTTCAGTAGGAGTGCTCTTTTCTCTGCACCTGCATTTTGGAGTTTTGTGTGTGTGTGTGTGTGTGTGTGTGTGTACTATCGGGTTTTTAACTGATGCATTATTTGCCTCCTTAACAGCTGTGTTCTGTTCTTCCCAGGAGACGTAGAAGATGCAGAAGCTGACGAATACTCCTTCTGGTGCTACAGCCAGTTGGAAGTGGATGGAAGCCAGCATTCTCTGACTTGTGCTTTTGATGACCCAGACATCAACAGCACCAACCTGGAACTACAGATATGGTGAGGGTGGTGGTTTCTATGGTCCTCAGAAATCCATCTCCTGACTCTTTATACGTGTCCCTTTCAGCACTTGAGAAGGACAGAGTGTCTGTCCTAAGTATCAAATGCTAACATTTATTGGAGTCTCAAAACCTCCTGAACTACTTTGTCCATTGCCAAAAATTAAAGTGAAACAACTCTCACTTCTTGCTAGTTCCCAAGGGGAAAAAACCACAAATGGTGCTGTGGTTCTCAGAGATTCATCAGTCCATGGTCACAGTAGTTAAGAGACTACATCTCCTAGAACGTTCCCTTAGGACAGTGGAATAGCTTCAGGTTCCGTTGTGTAGCGTAGTTGCCTGGAGTCCATTCCCAGTGCCTATGTTTAATAACCTTTTGATTTGCAGCAAGTTTTGTAACATATATTCTTCAATAGATTCATCTAAAAATTTAGAGAATGAATCTCATAGGAAGGTTATAGTGTTAAACAATTTAATATGTGTAAAGAGCTCAATTATTCATTAATTATTCATAATTATTCATGGGAGAAGGACATTAAATGATAATTCTCTCTCTCTCTCTCTCTCTCTCTCTCTCCCATATATATCACCCATTCTCTTCAAATAATTTAATTTCAGATGATACCGTCAATGGAAAGTTACCAATAGTTCATAAGACCAAGTTAATTCTTGGTTTTATGCAGCCTTAAAGGAAAGAAAATGCAAACAAAGATTTTGGTGTGAAAGTTGATAAAATAAAAAACTTAATGAGTTTCATCTTTTCCCTTGCCCACTAGTCATCACTTGTTGTCAAGGGTTATTATCTCTGGTGACTTGAAAAAAAAATTCTCTAATATGAAATTCTGACTTGTGGCTATTTCCAAAGTCATATCAGATGACCTCGTTTTCTTGGTAAGTTTCCGGATGAGGAAAGTATGTCAAGATCTGCAGAACAAAAAGAAGGCTTAAACTCCGTGATCACTAGGGTAGTCCTTTGCCACCTACAACTCAGAAAAGCTGTAGCTTCTGACTTTCCTGAGTTGACAGCAGTTTCCTGAGTCTGTACACAGCTTTTCCCTGTAGTCGTTGGATGAACAAGGTCTTGGATTTGAATGCCACAGTATGTCCTCACTTTCTTTCTATTATTGCACTTTTATAGCATGCTTTCTATAGAGAGCAGAAAAATAAATATCCAGGATCTGGAGACAAGGAGCTGCCAGTAAATTTCTTGCTATGCAAGCAAGAGGGCCTGTGTTAGGATTCCGGGAACCTTTGTAAAAACTGAGTGTAGTATCTGGAATCCCACCCCTGGGGTGTGTTGGGGGTGGGAGAGCTGTGAAGATAGGTGGATCCTTATTGGCTGATCAAGTTAGTCCAGTCAATGAAATTCAGGTTCACTGAGAGATTCTGGACGAAAAAGTATAGACTGGAGAATGAAAGAGAAAGACCCCAGGTGTTAACCACTGCCCTACACCTGTGTGTAAATATAAAAACACCCGCACAAAAATGTATGTATACATACCCCACATTCAAACCAAAACAAACTACGGGTGTCTAGAATCAGTCTTCCAACTTGCTGAATCAGTTAAATAACTCATCTAAACATTGTTCTCACTTTTTAATAGGAAAAAAGACCCCGCAACACAGAGATTGAACTTTAGGTTTTCCAACCAGGTTGTAACAACACTGTGGGTTGTAACAAACACTCTGGTTTCGTTTGAACAAGCCATGATGACCTTTCTGCCCACTTTCTTTCACATTGCCCACTGTCACCCATTGCCCTTTACTGTCTTGAGTTTATCTGACAGAGCATCCATTTGTGTTTTCCAGTTGAACAGATATCCTGAACCATATGTCTTAAGGTATATTTAGTGAGAAGCAGAATGCTGACTTCAAATAGACACAAGTAACTTCTAGAGCATTATCATTTCCATAAGGTGTCTACGCTTTGAGTAGGATATTCATGTACCTTCTTAGGTTGAGAGGATGGTAGCTAAAGAATTCTGAATTTGTATATTTATTTTTGGAAAGGGAACTAGCTTTTGTAGAACATATAAATATAATTGCCCTTCAGTCAGAACATCTGTTTATACAGAGAAGACAGATTCATCTACCATATTAAACTACGCAAGACTAGATGTGTAAGAAGAAGGAAATGGAATTAAGCTTTAGGTTAAATGATCCTTAGCTGTCACTCTCTACTCTCATAACCGGATTTGTGAATGTGGCTTAGCACTCATGCCCCAAGGCATCTCATACAAGATCAAAATCATGACTCATGTATGTACTACTTGGATAGTAACTATGATCTTTCTCTTACCCTAGATACCCAGATACAGTGCTGCCCTGAACAAGTATAGTACAATCTATAAATCTATGAGCACATAAGTAGTTTTGACTTTTCTTGAAGCAAATTTTTAAAAATATTTCCATATTTTCATTACATTTAGTGTTTGTGGTTGTCATCTATATGTATGCATGTGCGAGGATAAACAAGTGCCACTGTGTGCATGTGAAGACCAGAGACAACCTGCAAAAATCTTAGTTCTCTCTTGATGCTACGTGGGTTCTGTGGTTCAAACAAGAACCTTTACCCACTCAGCTGTCTTACCAGTCTTTTCTAGTCGTTCACCTTTCAAAACAGAAAAACATAAGATTAACTATAACATGTTTAACTTCATTTGATATATTAAAAAGTATTAATTCAATGTATAATCAATAGCATGCTGAGATATATTATGCTGGTTTTATAGAAAATGATCAAAATGTAGGGTAAATTTTACATTTACACCACATTGTAATTTAAACCAATCACATTTCATGTGTTTTACAAACGCATGTGGAAGAGAGGCTATTGGGTTGAATAGTAGAGTCTAAAATGATCCCTAAGTCATACAGTGCACAGTGAGAAACCAAATACATTTTTGCAAGTTAACCGAGATTTCTACTGCTGTTGATGATAGATTTCTCAAGTTTCGTGAAGGGAGGTCAGTATCACAAACCAAGGCCAGTCATAGTAATAAACCAAGGCCAGTCATAGTAATCTGCTTTGTTTATTTTGGTCTCCTAGCATGGCTTCCTCTCCATAGGGCCAGTTCTTAGATATCAGAGCCGCCCGCAAGGAGCCCAGGTTCATAGACAGATACATTGAATCTCTCATTATTCATCACTTGCTAATTTCGTTGTCTGGGAAATGGGAGTGACTGATACTATTTGTGACCTAGTTAAAATTCCTAAAATACCAGAAAGTTGCTACAGGTTCCAGACCCAATAACTGAATATTTCACTCATATGTTACTTATAAAGATACTTTAAGAATTGGCATAAAAAATCCATTGATTTCTGTTTTCTCTATGTCTGCATGTGTAACTCCAGTTCAGAAGTTGGTATTTCCCCCAAAGCTTTCCCTTCTTTTCTAATTCAGCAAATCACAGCAGTGTAGCAATTAGAAGTCTATTAGTGAGGGCAGATCACAACAGTGCATCAATTAGAAGTCTATCTATCACTCACTTCACATTTGTTCCCTTGTGTCTAGTTTACCTTATTGCTTTCCAATTCTGACTCTTTTCTGAGTGATAAATCTCTGTAAGGACACTGCATTCGAACACCCACGTAGGTACCTAGAGATTCTGGGGTTGGCAGCGGGAGGTGGGGGCTGAACAATTCCTTATCCTTACAGATACTTCACAAAAACTATTATTTTGGCAGGGGGAGTTTTAAAGAATGTTTTGCGAATAATAACTATATGTCAAGAAATAAACCTAACTTCTTTATCCATCTCTAGTTTTAATAATTACGTCTGGTTTTGACCCCATGTCTAGCTTTCCCAAAGCCATGCAGACATGCAGATGCCTTCCTTTTTCTATACAGAGGCCAAGAACTGTCTTAGAAAGGTTGACATTTTGTATCATAGTCATATAGTGACTTGCTACTCAGTAGCTATAAAGATGAGGCATAAGATAAACATCATCTCGAATAAAACTCCTAAGCATGTGCTTGAGCGAAAGAAATCAAGTATGAAAGAATAGTAATGTTATTGCAGTGATGAGAACTACTACCAGCTGGCAAAACAGGAAGAAGCATAGGACCAAACTTATTCCTCTGAATGTGGTTGACAGTTTTATGGCTGGGGCAGACTGAGGGGTCACTTAGGACTAGAGTGGGGTAGGGTGGGAGTGTGTGTGGAGGGAATGAGAGGAGAGGAGGGAGTGGAAATTTGGATTGGTATTTTTTTAAAAATCTAATAAAAAGGAAACTTGAAGTGAGAGCTCTGGTTTCCCCTTAGTCTTGGGATTAACTACCGCACATATGCTGGGCAACCCATCAATGCAAAAGAAATACCCTACACCTAGAACTTCACTGATATGCACATATCACACACATTTCAAAAATCTATTGAAGATTAGCACATTTTGCTAAGTGCAGTTCCCCCCACACATACACACACACACACACACACGCAATACACTGTCAACAAAGAAGAAAGCAAGCGAGTAATGAGGAAAACAAAGAAATTCTGAAATTATATATTCTCACCACAAAAATAAATTATGCAGAATAAAAAAAATATTACTAGCTCCTTCCTCTTTCACATGCCTCAAGTTTAATTTCCCTCTTTTTGAGAAGTGTCCTCAAGAGATTGTTTCTCCGACAGGCTCTTTGCTCTTCAGGGTCAGCTTAGTCATTCTAAAGAGAGTGAAACCTGGGCTCTATTGGAAGTAAAGATCTGGGCAGAATGTAGAAGTTGATTACGCAAACCAGATACATGTGAGTGTGTAACTGTGAGAGTGTGTGTGTTTGTGTGTCTCTGTGTGTATGTGTGTGTGAAAGAGACTGAGTGTTTCTGTCTCTCTCTGTGTCTGTCTCAGTGTGTGTCTCTATGTGTGTCTGTGTCTGTGTGTGTGAGAGAAACAGAGGTTGTGTGTGTGCATTTTCTATGTACTTTTTTCTGTTTCTCTCTCTCTCTCTCTCTCTCTCTCTCTGTGTGTGTGTGTGTGTGTGTGTGTGAGAGAGAGAGAGAGAGAGAGAGAGAGAGAGAGAGAGAGAGTCCTGGAAACAAAGAAGGTTAGGTGATTTCTTTGGTGAATGGCATGAGTGTGCTCTTTTTTTTCTTTTTTCATGTGTTTAAAACATGGTTACTCTCAAAATTGAAAAGATCATTTTTCACATTTTTATGTCTATATTTCAAACAGTAGATTTAAACTTAAAATATGTGTAAAATTGCATAATATTAGGGATCTAATTCTCATAAGCTATACTGAGTCCTACACATAAGAGTCATACCCTCTTTTCAGTATTGTTTCGTCAGTCTATAATTTTAAAGTGTTGCTAAAGTTTTGATTAACACTATATAAATCTGTTTGGGAAAAATCTAATGTATCAGTAGTTAATTTGCTTGCGCATGAACATAGCTCCCTTTTATTTAGATTTATTCAAATATCTCCCTTATACGCTTTGCAGTTTCCAGTACAAAGGCATTGAATATCTTTTTATAAATTTTATTTCTGTCTTTTATTCTCTTGCCATGATCATAAAGGAGCAATCATTTTTAAACTTCATTTTCTAATTTTTTGAAGTTACCCATAAAAATGCAGCTGTGCATTTTCTGATGGCCTTGATGAATTAAACTACTTCCTATAATCATGTCGGGAATCTTTAAAAATGTACGTGTGAACAGATAGTTTTTCTCTGCAAAATATATGTGGTTTCTTCTTTTCAAATCTGCACGCACTTGTATTTGCTTCCCTTCTCTTGTGAACTGAGGAGAACATCCCGTGCAGCTCAATGTAGGCGTATGCAAGGAGAACTGCCTCCGTTATCCTGTTCTTTTACCACTGCCTTTTATGTTAACTTTCTGTAATAGCAGCTTATTGATTTAAACAAGTGTCTTTATTTTACTTCTTGTTGGTCGGGATGGTTTTAATCATGAATAAATGTATGAGTCTATCAAAAAAAACTTTGTTTCCATTAAAGATTCATAACTTATTAGAGTTTTATTCTGTTAATGTGGTGAATTATGCCAATTGATCATTGAATGCTGAACCTACTAAACCTGTTGTAGTATAGTAGTATTATGATTTTGAAGAACTTTGTATATACATTTTTAAGGACTGGTCTTATATATATTCCATGCTGGCCTAATACCACTAAATAGATGAGGATGGTCTAGAATTTCTAGTATTTCTTCTTCTTTGTTTTGAGAGTTGGGATTACAGGTATATTTCCATACACTGGGTTTATACAGGACTTTGAGAAAACTAGGCAAACACTCTACCAAGAGAGCCACATCCGCAGACCTACACACACATTTTAGGGATGGTTTTCTTTCCTATAATATATTTTGCTAGGTTGGAGGGGGGCAAGTTTAAGCTTGCTTCAAAAAATGATGTTTATCATCTCTATTTGGGGGAGGAACTTCTGTAATATTGGCATTATATCTTTCGTTTTTATTTATTTATTTTTAATATTTTAGAATTTTACATACCAATCTCAGTTCCCTTTCCTTCCTATCCTCTTTCTTCTTCCACCTTCTCCCCACCCCACCCCCAATCACTCCTCAGAGAGAATGAGGCCTCCCATGGGGAGTCAACAGAGTCTGTCATATCACTTGAGGCAGGATCAAGGCCCTCTCCCGTGTATCTAGGCTGACAAGTTTTTTCTCAATAGGAAATGGGCTCCACAGAGCCAGTTCAAGCACTAGGAATAAATACTGGTTCCACTGCCAGTGGCCTCACAAACTGCCCAAGCAGCACAACTGTCACCCACATGCAGAGGACCTTGTTCAGTCTTATGCAGGTTGCCCAGCTGTCAGTCTGGAATCAGTGAGCTCTCACATGCTCAGGTCAGCTGTTTCTGTGGGTTTCCCCATCAAGGTCTCGGTCCCTTTGCACATGACATTTTGCTCCTCTCTCTCTATGACTGGATTCTAGGAGATCAGCCCAGAACTTAGCTGTAGATCTCTACATCTGCTTCCATCAGTTAGTGAATAAAGGTTCTATGATGACAATTAAGGTAGTCATCAATCTGATTACAGGGGAAGGGCAGTTAAGGTACCCTCTCTGCTATTGCTTAGACTCCTAGCTAATTGTGGATTCCTGAGAATTTCCCTACTGCCTGGTTTCTCACTAACACCATAATGGTTCCTCTTTCAAAGTATCTCTTTCCTTGTTCTCCCTCTCTGTCCTTCACCCAACTCGACCTTCCCTATACCTCATTTTCTCCTTCCTGCTTTCCTTCTCTCCTCCCCACTCCTCTACCACCCTCCACCCATGGTGCCATGGGAGATCTTGCATAATTCCACTTCTCGGGGATATCTATGAATGTCTTTCTTAGGGTCTTCCTTGTTACCTAGTTTCTCTGAGGTTGTGGACTGTAGTCTGGTTATCCTTTGCTTTTTGTCTAATATCCACTTATTAGTGAGTACATACCGTGTTTGTCTTTCTGTATTTGGGTTACCTCACTCAGGATGTTTTTATCTAGTTCCATCCATTTGCCTGCAAATTTCAAGATGTCATTGTTTTTTTATCACTGAGTAGTGCTCCATTGTGTAAATGTACCACATTTTCCTTATCCGTCCTTTGATGGAGAGTCATCTAAGTTATTTCCAGGTTCTGACTATTGCAAATAATGCTGCTATGAGCATAGTTGATCAAATGTCCTTGAAGTATGAGTGTGCATCATTTGGATATAGGCACTATCTCTTTCTTAGACATTTGATAGATTTCAGCAGTCTACAACTATTAGGTATATAGTGTTATTTGTTAAGGTATGAGTTAATATGAATATGATTTCTATTGAGATACTCAGTTTGTATGTGGCTCAGTTTAACTAACTTGTAATTTTAAAAATGCTTTCACGTCAAAAAAATTATTACATTAACCCTCACAAATGTTAGATTACCTATAGTTTTGATATCTGAATAATATATAATGGTGTCTCCTTTGACATTTCACATACTGGTAACTTATAATTTATGTACCCGTAGTGCCATAGAAGTTACCCTTGATGAGGCTGGACTCAAATCCAAGTAACCCCCCTACTTCAATCTCCTAAATGTTGAACCACCACACCCAAATTTACTTTTATTTTTTGACATGTGTTGTTGAGTTTCATTAGCCAAAGTCCCTATGACACTGGGTATGGTGGTAAATGCCTTCAGCACTATGGAGGTAGAGGCAGGCAGATCTTTGTGAGTTCAAGGTCAGCTTGATCTCCGTAATGAGTGTTAGGCTAGTCAAGGCTATATAAAAGAGTTCTTTGTTCTAAAAAAAAAAAAAAAAAAACCACAAAGTCCCTGTGAAAACTCCTTAATTTACTTATTAAATATACGCAGTGTTATGTATATAAACTTTTCAACCAGTTTAGCATTTCCTTTAATCCTATATGAATGAATAACACCATTATTTCCTACAGCACTGATTTTTGTTTATTTATCCCCAAAGCCACCAATTACTTAATTATTTAAACAAGATATTTTATTCTCAATGATCAGTCCAAAAATTACATGGATTTTTTTCTCCCAATTTCCACAAGCAAGCTTTTACTATTTCAGGTAATTTGCATATAATAAAAGTAATGGAGCAGGAAACTATGCTATTTTAATTCATTCCATTTTTCTCTGCAGTGTTAGCTCACCTACTTATGTATTTGTAGACACTAAAGATGAATTCACACAACTAAATGTGTGTAATACATTGTTTTTTGTATAACAGATACTCCTACCTGAATAAAGACTTCTGGCTTTTTGTTTCTACAGCGGGGCTCTTTTACAGATGAATTGCCTAACTCTTAATAAGCTGCAAGAGATATATTTCATAAAGACAAAGGAATTCCTACTGATTGGTATGAGCAATATATGTGTGAAGCTTGGAAACAAGAATTTAATTTGCAAAAATATGGAGATAGCCATGATAGGTAAGAAGCTGTGTATTAAGGCATCGTTGCCATGGTTTGGATAGCTGCAGACACGTCTTAATTTTCAGTGTGTTAAAAATAGGCAAATCATGAAAACACTTTGAAATAGTCAACAGCAACTTTTCTAACATCTTTTTAATAAATGAAAAATTTGACCCCTGGATCATGATTTCCTACTGTGAGAAATATGCTGAGAATATTGAAACTCGGCTGTGAAAGAGGGTGTTTGACATGACACGTACAGATTGGTGGAAGCACACATCAGGACGAGGAATGTAGCTGACGCCGAGTCGTCTATCATCTTCCCACACATTTTTTCTGTTTTGAATTTATCATGGAGGCCTTGTAATTTTTTCTCCATTTTCACATAATAGTCTAAATTTACATAACCAAATTAACAAATCATTTAAAAAATAAATATACATTTTCCGTATTTGTCAAAGTTACACAGGTGGAAGAGGACTTATGGGTGGGAGATAAATAAATGCATAGATAGATAGATTATAGAAGATAGATAAGTAGAGAGAGATGGGAGAGAGAGAGAGATGAAAGACAGATTAATTTTTAAAACTGGATATTGTGATTGAACCAGTGATAAATTCAAAATCTTAAGGATAAACCAGAGGGCATAAATTCAGGTTAAGTGTGGATGTTGCAGACTTGAATCCAAGTTCTCATGGCAAGAAACAAGATTATATTGCATTCTTGGATCAGATTTGTTTATAAAGAGACTTTCTACCTTTAATCTTTATTGCCTTTTACAGATTTAACAATGCCTGCTCTATGAAAGCTAATCTGTGTCATTCAAAACCTACTGACTTAAATTTTAGTTATATTTTAAAATACCATTGGATTGACATTTAACTTAAAAAGTAAGGACCATAGCCCAGTCATGATGAGCTATAACATAATAAAATTTCCAAAGAGATTAAGTGAGGAGTGAAACGTATACAAATTGATTTGACTACATATATTATAGTAATTATATACATAATTGTATCTTGTTAAATAATTATATCTTGTTAAATATAAATAGTAAAAGAAGTTATAATTTGAGTTAAATTATAATTTGAGTTAGTGTCATGACATATTAGTTATTTGTATTTTTTCTGTATCTGGAAATTCACAAGTGAATATGTCTGGGAAAATTCCAGAATGATCATATAAATACAAGTTTTACTTTTTTAAAAGGCTATGAACTATTTTGTCCTATTCTCATAACCTGTTTCACTACTCTAAAAGTAAAAACAACAGAGCAGTTTTTGTAAGATATGAGATAAAGTGAGAAAGTTACCTCAGCTTTGTTTAACTATGATGACGAAGAATCAAAGTATGTAGAAGGAGTGGCAGGCTGCATTCCCACCTGACTCCCGCATGGCTAGCTTTACACCCAGAAATAACAACACACAAACTGTATTCGTTTAAACACTGCCTGGCCCATTAGTTTTAACCTCTTATTGGCTAATTCTCACATCTTGCTTTAACCCGTATTTAGTAATCTGTGTAGCACCACGAGGTGGTGGCTTACCAGGAAAGATCCTAATCTACGTCTGTCTTGGAGAGGAGAGTCATGGCGACTGCCTCACTGCCTTCTTCCTCCCAACATTCTGTTCTGTCTACTCTGCCTACCTAATTTTCGGTCCTATCAAAGGGCTAAGGCAGTTTCTTTATTAACCAATGAAAGTAACACATAGACAGATGACCCTCCTCCATCAAAAGTAGAAGTTCCCTGCCTGAACAATTATCTTAACAAAAGAGCAGGTGTCACAGAAAGGGAATATTGGACAAATGGCTGGCTTTACATGTTTGACCACGCAATTACAAGAGCTAGGGCAGCATGAGTGACAGATGAGGCAAGGATAGTAGCTTTGACTTTTGAGCATGAGTAAGCTGGTTTTTATTCATTTAGAGATGAGGTTCCTATAGATCAGTGCACAAAGGCATCCTATTTAAAGTTTCATCATTTATACTTCAAAGGTATGTCTCTTGGAGAATGAACAGAACAGGTAACAATTCTTGACCCTCTGAGAAAGTGCTACAACATTAATTGAAAGTCTATTGTCATCCTTGCATGTGTCAACCTAAGCACACAAACCTCTGCAGTCATTTGGAGCACTTAGACCACACCCACAGGATCTAGGGATACCTGCCCATCCATGGTCCCAGTTTTCATCAAGGACCACATTGCACCTCCCAACAGCGGACCATAAGACTAACTCTTTATGTGAGCAGCAGTGAGGGAAGCCAGAGTTTTTTCACTGCTGGTAGGACAAGTCTGTGTGAAAGGGATGGTGTGGGTCTCTGCCATGGTACTAGAAAGTACTTGCACTCCAGAGCAAGTAGGATGAAAAGTGATGGGGTATTTTTCATAGGATTATTTTCTCCTGGCTCCTTAGGAGGCATCTCGGTCACTGAATTATCATTTCCACAAATTTTTAGTAAATACTCCTGATTGAATCCTAAAACCAGAACCCTGACCACCTACAACTTTAATGTTTAAACTTATGATGTTTTCAACTCACAGCTTTCACTTCTTTTTCTTTCCAGTTAAACCCGAAGCCCCCTTTGACCTAGAAGTAGTTTATCGAAAAGAAGCAAGTGACTTTTTGGTGACCTTTAATACATCTCACTCAAACAAGAAGTATGTCAAACAACTAATGCATGACATGGCCTACCGCCCAGAAAAGGGTGAAAATAATTGGACGGTAATGTATATCATGTTTATAAACTAAACATCATCATGTTTTGTCTTCAGAACTTATTCTTCACTCAGAGAGGCTTCTGGGATCATACTCATTTAAGACCCCATAACTCCTGCATTTTTCTTGGCTCATCATTATCTAACTGGCTCAATTGTATCTTTATGGTTAGAATTTAGATAATAACACAAGCCCAGACAAACCTGATCCTCATTATATAAAGTCTACAGTCCATGGGGTAATCAGGAAAAATTGTGATTCTCTGTAGTGTAACCAAGAAGCAGCATTGCTTTTTCCCCAATACCCTGGGATTTGGGGGACAGCAAGAGGTCAGCCAAAGAAGGGGCAGAAGTCTTGTCTGTCTCTTGTTTTTATTTTAATGTCTAAAGTTTCTGCAGCAGAAGGAACAGTTTGTTAATCACTCTTCATTTTCTGGATGTTTAGTCGGCTTCTTCATAGTCTGTTGAGGTTAAAATGATCTTGTTGCTCTGACCATCCATTTAGGAGATGAGCTGAGAGAGATTCAGAGGATATTGGGTAGTTGGGTTTCACTTAACCCTACCAGCTTAACCCCTGTCCTCCCTATGTCACATAGATATTTTTTTCAAGAGATGGCTTCCCTTTCTCAAGAATAAAAAATGCTTTCTTATGCCCGATGCTCCTTTAACCTGGTCATTGTCATTACCCTCAGTGTGCTGAGGCAATGCCACTTACAAACGTGCATTTCTGACCTGGCCATCTGCTGCCTCTCTCTACCTACTCCACACACATACATAAACTGGGTGATCTTCAGCCTACTTTCTCTCATTAATCATCTGAAGATACCACCAGTGGAAAAGCAACATTAGTAGGAGGAAGAAGGATTATGAATAAATTGTTCCAAGACAATCAGCTGATTTTCTGTTTTTTTTTTAAAAAGGAAAGTAAATGTTTACTCACTCCTGTGTCAATTAACATAAATAAACCTACAAAACATAAACGCAATTGTAAGTCGAATCAAAATTAGTGTTTAGTTACCATATAACTGCTAATAGATGGTCTGTTAATACAAATGGTTACTGTTCACTACCTGTTGTTTTGCCTTGAAAGGAGACAGAAAGAAAGAGAAGATACTGGAATGAGAGAGGTAGCTGTGAGCCTAGAGGTGGTCATACACTCCAAAATAGGAAATGATAATTCAGCTAACGACCCAAGCAGCCAGTTTTTGACCTCTCTTGATATCATTTTGAGTCTGTCCCTCATTCTGCTGCCAAATCTTTTGCATAGTTGAACTCCTTCACTTCAGAAATATGAAAGAACTTCAAGAGAGCGGCAACATGACTGAAAGAGTTTGTATTAAAGTGAGTCGAGAGATCTAAGCAACATGTCTTTTGACATCCAGAAATGTATATTGTTTTTCACCCCAGCATGTCAATTTATTGAATACAAGAACAACAATCCTAGAGCGAAAACTACGACCTAAAACTGTGTATGAAATCAAAGTCCGATCCATCCCCAATACCAGATACTTCAAAGGCTTCTGGAGTGAGTGGAGTCCAAGTTCTACCTTCAAAACTCCAGAGCCTGGGAGTCCAGGTAAGCAACGGGTGCAGAATCTCTGTCCCCTCCACAAGACTTCATATACCGAAGTATAGCAGGGAGTGAGCAGATTGATGTAAATACCCACAGGTTAGGACATGGGGGTGGGGGGACTCTTCCACTTTCTTTGGAGGATGTTCTGCCTGCCTTCTTTGCCACTTGTCTGAAATAAGAGCATTGGGAGCTGGGTCCATTGTACCTGATAATGGCCATATATTGTTTTGATGTCATTGTCTCAGAATCTCCTGAATCTACTAATGAAATCTGTAAGAGCTCCTTACTCACCACCATTTCTGTCTTTGTAAGGGATCATGTCTGGTCTCTCTGTGACCCCTCCTAGGTAATATCTTTGCTAATAACAAGTGACCAGGACAGAATGCCCATCTACTAAAATCCTGTTATAGGGTATATTATAGGGTATATACCTATATGTTATAGGGTATGGGAAATACCAGTTGCCAGAGAAACCAGAGAACATGTCTCAGGAAAGTGCCCAAAGCACCTCACACAGAACTCCTGTGAGAAGGATGGAGTTTATTCCTGCTATGTCAGCTTCACACTACCATTTTGGAACTTGCTGTAGCTTCAGGGTGAATGTTAATCTTTTCAACTATTACTTAAACTTTATTTTGGGGGTATTGGCAGTTGGATACAGGTTTATAGGCCATCATGAAATGTCATATTTACATTTCAAGTGACTGATGCTCTTACCATGGTCACCCAAATCAGAGCCACTCTTCCTGTCCATCAAAAAACTATTTACAAGAAACTATAAGACTGTGTAACTAAGTAAATTCAAACCATCCTAAGCATATACCATATTTATCCCCACATTATTTGCTTACTGAATTCTAATCATGATCTCTCCTTGTATTCCAGGGCGATGGGATCCTGTTTTGCCAAGTATCAGCATTCTGAGTTTTTTCTCTGTGGTTTTGTTGGTTATCTTAGCCTGTGTGCTATGGAAAAAAAGGTGATTTTCATTGATAATCAAGAGGGAAATTGTGTGAAGCCAGAGAAAAGAGAGCTCAGGTCACTCTTATTTATCTAGAAAATTTTAAAGGGAAACGTGACATTTCAAGAATTACAATGTCAAATATATTCCATCCCATTCTTAGATTCTAGTCAATTTTATGTAGTTGATTTCAGAAGAAGCAAAAATATATAAACTAGATGTGTAAGACAAACATTATTTCCCAAATATTCCTCTCTCTCTCTCTCTCTCTCTCTCTCTCTCTCTCTCTCTCTGTGTGTGTGTCTGTCTGTCTGTCTGTCTGTCTGTCTGTCTGTCTGTCTATGTGTTCATGTGTGTGCTGGCCTACAGGCAGCCAACACTCAACACTGATTTTTTTTAAGTGTGAGAAGTAAGAAATTGACTTTTTATTAATAAATAATAAATTTTTCTCAAAAAAGCTTTTAAACAATAGTGAACATAAACAATGGATAAACTTTGAAAATTATGGTACTAATAACACAAATAAATAACAGCAAAATAGCAAAATCAAAACCAAATGAACCAGACAAAAATAAAACAAAAATCAAATAAAAATAAAGCTAATTAGCATTTATCACTGCATATTGAATGCACCTACTACACCTACTACAGGCAAGTGCTTGCCTCAGAGAGATGCTAGCGAGGTGGTCAGGATTTGGAATGGCTTTTTCAAGATTTCTGGATCTGTTCCAACTAGGAGCTTATATGTCATGTTCTCCCCAAGATGGAGTCCACTTGCTGATCTAATGAGAGTTCACCAAGGCCAGTTGGACTGGGACTGAATGAGCACGTGATCCAACCAGATTCTCTGAATGTGGCCGGATTCTCTGAATGTGGCTGGCCCGGAGTCTTTCTGAAAAGCCATTGACAATGACACTGGGACTTGTTTCCTCTGCATATACTGGATTTTTTGGGATCCAGTCTGTTTGGATACTCACTTTCCTGGACCTGGAGGGAGGGAGGAGGAACTTGATTTTTTTTTTTTAAATCAATCATTTTCCACTTTGTTTTTTGAGACAGGGTTTTGCACTAAACCTGGAACTCAGTGACTTGGTCAGACTAACTTGTCAGTAAATCTGAGTGGCTGCCTGTCTCCCCCATGCCATGCATCATCATTGAGTACCTGAATTTGGGTCTTTATGCTTGGATAGCAAGCAACTTATTTATTGAACTATCTTTCTAGTCCCTTGCCCCCCAAAGAAGAATTCCTTGAAAACTGTTTCTCAAATATTTTCCCCACATCCTCCTGAGGACAGAGGAGGAATTACCCATTCTAACAAGGGGTATATTTGATGTCATGACTTCCTGCACACAAATTCACAAGACTTTTGCATTCTACTGTGGTAGAGTGATATGCTATGAAATTACCCAGTGTTCTAGGAAGATGCCCTCAGTGGAGGAACACATATTCTTAGGACAAATAGTGTCCTAAATGGAAAAATAATTACCATAAAATAAATGTCTTGAATAGCTTAGAGCATATTCCCTACTCCCACTAGAATTAAAGCAAAACAGTTACTTCTAGTAAAGAGAATGAATTAGATGACAATATAGACATTGACTAGAAAAGATTAGGTTACAAGTTTTAGCTCCATATCAACATCAATACTACCTCCCTGCAAACCTCATTCCCATAATTACAGTGTCCTGGTCACAATATACCAATAGCAATTTGTTCTGTTCTATTCGTTCCTTTAATCAAGTGGGTGATACTGCCCACAGAAAACAAGACATCTGTCCACAGTTGCTACCTTATAGTATCAGAGCCAGTACCAGAAAACTGTTCTTACACTCTCCCTCAAACAAAGAGAACAATATATTTCAGCGCCTTCTCCCTCTGTCATTTGTTCCACTTATGAATGTTTCTCTGCTTTTAGGATTAAACCTATCATATGGCCCAGTCTCCCTGATCATAAGAAAACTCTGGAACAACTATGTAAGAAACCAAAAAAGGTAAGTGCTTCTGGTGGAAAAACACCATACTGAAGACATCTTCGTCTAAGAATGTTCAAGACAAGGGAAAACTGAAACTCAATTTTTGACCTTTTATTCATGGCATAGGTGAGGCTCTTGGTAAGGTACTGGGGAATAAAGTTGAGACTCACAGAACAGGGAGTAGGAACATGATCAGGGTTTAATTCAAACCTGAAGTATCACAGCTCTGGCAGATGTGGAGACAGCAGAAGAGCAGGCAGGCCATTTTCTCGCATTGTGTAGTACACTTTTCATGAGAAAGTTTCTTAGATGTCTTTAATTTTTCGGAACCAATGTCTAATTGCCCCTCTTTCCAGTGTCACTAATGCTTTTGGATTTCTCTACAGAATTTGAATGTGAGTTTCAATCCTGAAAGTTTTTTGGACTGCCAGATTCATGAGGTGAATGACATTCAATCCAGAGATGAAGTAGAAAGCTTTCTGCAAAGTGGCAATCCTCCACATCCCGATTCTCCCCCTGACGAGCTGGAGAAGCAGGGTCATGGAGCAGCTGTACACAGCCCAAATCGGCTGTCGGAGATTTCAGTCGGCACACCAGAAACTTTCAGGAGAGAGTCACCCCCAAGACTCCTGGAGAGAAATTCGAGTACATGCAACACTCCTCCCTTCCTTTCCTCTCTGTCCCCTGACTACAGAGATGGTGAGAGGAATGGGCCTCATGTGTATCAGGACTTGCTGACAAGCCCTGAGAACACAAATGGCACCCTCCCTCAGGCATTTCCTCTCCAGTCTGGAATCCTGATACCAGTTTCTCAGAGACAGCCCATCCCCACTTCCTCGGTGCTGAATCAAGAAGAAGCATATGTTACCATGTCTAGTTTTTACCAGAACAAATGAATTATGAGCAGCCAAAGACCCTTCCATCACGAACAGAACAATCACGGGGATGAAAAGTCTAGCATGCCTGTCCCTCGTAGTTCACAGAAGATAAAGTCAATGTGACCTTGCTGCACATCATCAGCATTCTGAGAAGTCATTTTGATCTCCTAGCTCAGAAACATTTGCATAAAACAGGAAGAAGACATTTCTGCCTTGTCAGTTAAGTACTAAGAGTTCAGGTTGCCCAATTAAAAAATAGGAACAAAACTCAAATTAAATGAAGATTAAGGGGAAGAGAGAAGGATGTAATGAATTCAGGAAGAGAGAATAAAAGAAGACTAACAGTGGCAGTTCTATCATTAGGAGATATATATATGCACACACACACACACACATATATCATTATATATATATATATATATATATACAGTACTGTACACAATTGGTCTCAGTTCCTTTTCACAATAAGATGGCAATGTGGATTCATCCATTATAATTGATAAACTCTTTGCCATAGATGCTGAAGTTGAGAGTAAATATTTTAAGCAATTTGTCTAAGCTTTCCTTTAAGCAGCAGATGAGGCATGTGTTCTAACTTCAGCCATCCCTTGCCATGAACCTATGCTAGTCTTCTGTGCCAAACATCACCACCAAGTGGGTGGTTATATAGTAATTATCCAAACTGCACCACTCTGGAAAGGGAAAGTCAGACAATTAACAGCAAGCATAAACTGGGTCTGTCTCAGAAAGATGTGGATGTGGGGTCACTTTAATCAAAGTGGCTACGAAGAAGAAAGTGCAGAACAAAATGTATTTATGGGTATGAGGTGCCATGACCATGTGTCAAAGGAAGTCGGAAAAAGAAAAAAAAAACACCAAGCTCATTTGATTTTGTTTGTTTGTTTTTTAAAACCAACCATAGAAGTAATCAGTTAGAAGCCAAGAAATTCCAGAGTCAGTTATCAAGAACATGATCCTCCTGCTGCTATCATCCACCTGCCTCTAGATGGGAGCATAGAAGGAGCTGATGAGAGTCTGCAAGAGTGTGGCATTTAACCATGCATGGGCAGAGGAATAGCCCTCCGATGTGTGTAGATACCATGACAAATTACCCCAGGTTCTACACCCTTGGATGTTGCCTGAACTACAGGGAGGAGGGAATGTGAACACTTCAATGTGTGCTCCAGCTGAGACTGTTCTCATGCAAACACAGAGAAGATAGGTAAGCTGCTCAAGTTGAAATGTTAACTCATGATTGCAAGCAAAAACTCTGTATCCCTGGTCAATCTCCCGAAGAAAATAAGAAGTAACTGAAGGACACCATTGAGCTCCTTAGCACTAAAATCCTCTGTTTCAGTGTTGACATTGGTCATTGGAATTTGGTGTGTCTGTCTGGTCATGAATTAAATCCATGTATTATATTCACGTCACCACAACTGCTGCTAATGCTTAAATATGTATTCAGGAACAGTGTATAACGTAACATTACAGATTGGTTCTGCCGGTTTCCCTCTTGTATTTTATATTGGAAAATCAAAACTTTGGGTCAGAGATAATACTCAAAGCAGAGATGCCAACTGCTACTTCCAAGTAATGTGAAATAAAAATGATAAAAAAAAATAATGAAAACCAGGTATCCAATTGGATCAATCAACTACACCTGGGTCCACAGAATCTTCAGTTAGTAAACTAATTTTCTACAAGCCTTTGCTTCGCTCTTCATTGAGGCATCTGTGGGAATTTGTGCCTTCAAATTCAAGCATGGGCTATTTCAGATGTGCACGCTTGTGGTTTTTTGTAACTATGATTTGGAACTGTCAAAAATCTTAAGAATATGTAGAAAGGAACCTGAAATTGATACAACCCAGGTGACATTTTTTTTTGTGAGCTCAGCAGTTTTTCTTCGGTGTTCTCTGAAACATTCAGCATTCACTACAGTAAAGTTGTCTGAGTTGACTCTGTTCCTCAAATGCATTACTAGTAACCTGTAGAGCTGCTACATAAAACAACGTATGGTGTGTATTATCATTTCATGTTTCATTAAATGCTAAGGAAATCTATATGGCTGTACTGTCTTCTGTGACTGTGGCAACTACTCCTACATAGGTTCCTGAAGTTCCACACAGGCCTTGCTGGTTACTGAGAGCATTCGTAAGTCATTAATGGGGTAAAGATTCCAGAAAGATATTTTTAACCAATTCAATAATTAATAGCAATTAGTTAAGAAGCCATACTGCATTACTTTAATACAATGCTAGCCACTAAACTATGGAAGTAGATACTCCAAGCTCACAGTTAATGGATAAAAAATACAAAGTAGTGTTCAAATATCACACTAATGTTTAATGGTAAAATATCAGTCACAATGCTTAGCATCTAGCAAAATAAATGATTTCAAGCAGAGAGTTTACTAAAAATATTAGATGGCTCACAGAGCATCTTGAAGGGTGAATAGCCAGTCTTGCAGGCCAAGGATCTCTCTGTATCTCTGTGCCTCAGAGTTCTAGAAACTGAAAATAATTACCTTCATTTGGGTCACCTACTCCTGAGGAGCCTTAACAATGACACTCAGCACCACAGACTGCCGGAGTGGCTGACAGCAGCAAGTTTGAGCCTTGTGTGAGCCTTAGCAAGAGATAAGAGAACAACTGGTATTTAAATTTACAGTAAGAAGCAGGCGGTGCTACAAAGTTGGGGAATCCCCAACATGCAATGAAGATCCCCTGTTAGGACAGAAGAAAAGCACAACAAAACCAGGTAAAGAGGATGGAGAAATGACTCAGCAGTTAAGAACACTGCTGTTCTTCCTTTACAGAGGACCCAAGTTCAATTCCCAGTACCCATACGTGACTAAGAACTTCTGCAACTCCATTTCCAGGGATCCAGCACTCTACTCTGCCCCCGCCCCGAGCACCAGGCATGCGTGGAATGCAGACATACATACAAACAAAACACCCACACATGTATAAAATATTAATTTTTAAAATATTACAAAACAAGTAAAGGCTAAATGGGAAAAGATACAAGCAAGGACAAAATGAAGGTCATATTTCATATGGGAAAGCAAGACTCTGGAGTATGACAGGTAACTGAGCCTGGAGATCACACGGGGATTTTTCTCAACAAAAGAAAAAGTATAGTGAGCCATAAAGTTGTGAGAAAAGCTTGTACATTCAGGGGAATGTACAAGAATAGTTACTGATATAGTTATCACTGTCTCGGATGGCAGCAGTAATGCATTTACTTCAGAAAGGTAAAGAAATTGCATTTTCATAAAAATAACATATTAATCTTGAATGTTTAATTTAAACATGTCTATATATTCTTTTGTAACTTGGTCCATTTAAGCCACTTGAACAAAAGACGTTTGGTTTGGGTAAATTAAAAACAGTACAAACTGATTTCTTACAATTTTAGAAACTGGGAAGTGTGTCAGCATGGTAGGGTTCTCAGTAAAATACCACTGAGTTCTCACTGTGCCTTACACTCAAACACCCTTTGAACCTTTTAAACAAGACCCAGCATCTCAATTCCATCGTAGTAGAAGTTAAATTTTCAACATGCATTGTGAAGACACCGACACTCAGACTGTAACACATTACATGGCCAGTGTCACTTCTTCCTAGGGTATGGTCATAATTTCACCCATGAACTTATCAACAAACTACTCTTTTCAGTACTTTTATTTCTTTGAAATGAGAAATAACTTCAAGATAACCAAACAGAGTCCCATCTATTTTACTTTTTTAAATCCACCCTTAGAGTTTCTGTCATCATTCTGCCACTCTAATTTTCTTGGCAATATTCTTGCATTGTACAGCTATCAAACCCTCAGAATTTTTAAGGTAGTTCTTTCAGATCAAGAGCTGCCTTTCTTTGTATATTCGGAGTGCACTAGCTCCCTAAATATAATTATGACAAGTTCTACCGCTTTAAACAAGTGAGGACAGCTCTAACAGTTCCTTCGTAGAAGAAGTTGTACAGGGTGTATTCACGGCCAAGTCTTAACGGGAGTGCTACTGTGTTTAAAACGAGGTGGGCAGCAATAATTCATTCAGTGAGTGACTGAAACAACGGAGCTGATGGAGATAAAGAGTGCAATTTGCATGTGGTTGTCTTTCCTACAGGGGCTGGGTGTGCTTGCAAAGAAGTGTGATCTAAGAACTTCATGTGGGGCTGGAGAGATGGCTCAGCATTTAAGAATGCTTACTGTTCTTACAGAGAACTCAGTTCAGTTCTCAGCACCCACAGGGCAGCTCAAATCTGCCTGTCACCCCAGGTCCAGGGCATTTTCTGTTCTCTACTGGTCTTCTGGAGTTTCTGCAAGTACATAGTGCACATGAATTCACATAATCTCTCTCTCTCTCTCTCTCTCTCTCTCTCTCTCTCTCTCTCTCTCTTTTCCTCCCTCTCTCTCTCCTTCTCTCTCTCTCTCTCTCTCTCTCTCTCTCTCTCTCTCTCTCTCACACACACACACACACACTAAGCAAATTTTTAAAATTTATTTAAAACCCTTCATGTACAAGTGTGTACTGGGATTCGTGGATGTAAGCCTGAAACCCTTTTGATATTTCCTGTAATGTTTTTAGAGGTGTTATATTGAATTCTGATTGATTAAATTAGCCCTTCCAGGTAAGATTATAGACTCTCATACTTTGGCCTATATAAAGTTATCTCCAATATTTCAAAGAATGTCAGGGTGCCAAAGTACAAGGCACCTACTCTCTGTCCCTAAGAATCCTTTAAGACTTTCTGTGGCTACTCCCTTATGATTCAGCCTGTCTTCATTTCCCCTGACCTTTCTGAGTCACATCTCAGATAAGATATTTTCTGGAAGGGCATGTTCTTATAGAGCAGGATTTGACTGAACTGTTTATCCCTGCACACTTTATGCTTATTCCTGTTGGTACTACACCAACTTGCAAATGCTTTGTTCTGTGGTTCCTCTATGGACTTTAGGTATTTTGGCATTGGGGACTACGATTACCTTGCTAAACACAATACCAAATGAAAAGATGAATAAACACATCAGCAAATAATGTTGCGTTATCCAAGTTGTTTCTTCATCACTGTTCTACATTTAAAAAAAGCCATGCTAAACTATTCAGAAAGAGCTTGCCCCACATCCCTGAGAAATACCACATCTGGGCAGCCACGTGCAAGGAGTCAGTTGCCTTCCCCATCCACACTTCCCTCCCCAGCTGTGCTCTTAACCACCGTGACCACAAAAGTGGGGAAATTACAGAGTGAAAAGGGGCAAGAATTTCCCAAGCTTCATTTCTTGAAAATTATCTACATTTAATTTTGTTTATTGATAAAATTGATTCATTTAAGCTCTACAATAAAGTCAATCTTAACTTCTGAATTACAACACTGTGTGCCTTTGTGTAGACTTATGTATGCTGTTTGAAATAGCAGCCAGCCGTAAAGACAAAGAAAGTGTTGAGCATAAAGCTTGGTGAGTCCAAGGAACATGCTGGTACTCCTCAAAATACTGACAGCAAAATGTGAAGCAAACAACAAGCACATCCCCTGAGGCTTGGAAAATAGCCTGAAAGTTCTTTCTGTGGAAACACTCGAGTTAATCTGGAACACTCCTCAACTATAATTATTGTACCAATCTTTCTATATTCAAGATAAATATTTGTCAGCCTGAAATGCAGTAGATCTTGTAGGATTGAAAAGGACTTTTGTTGCTGTCAATTTTGTTCCTACAACATATTAGCTGTGTTAGGCATTGGATTAAAAATTTTAGAATACTCTTAAGTATTTTAGTGCTAAATTTACCTTCTGGTGGGGTAAATTATTACTTTTAGAGATCAAGAGATAAATAATTTAATTATACAAAAGTTCAGTAAGTTCTGTAACATGACATTAACACACTGTAAATCTTACATCGGCATAATAACTTTTCATAAATTTAATAAGTTGCAACACAGATTTTAATATTATTAGCACTTTATTTTTAAATAGCTAATAAAATTCTAGTAGAATTTAAGCCAACTTTTATTCTCCATTATGAGCTATTAAGATATACCAATAGACTTAAGGATAGAACAAAAATTCTACTACCATCACATTTAATATTAATCTATAAATCCTAGATGATGCAACTAGAGAAGAAAGTGAAGCAAGAAGAAGAAATACTGAGTGAAGAGGTAGCAAATATATTATCATTGAAACCTGCAATAGCTTCATGCTTGGAAAATATCAAAAAGTAGAGTAACTTCATAAAGAGTTGAAGCTTCATAAAGTATTTTACTTGCAGTGTTTCTATATCTTCATTTACTCCTTGAAATCATTATTGAGTGTTTAATATTACACTAGCATAATGTTTGGTTTTGCACCATATTCAATGAGCATCAACCTCTATAATTTAACAAATAAAAACCACCCAATCTCATTCTTAAAAAGTCATCACGTTTAATAACAATTCCTTTAAAAAAAAATGATCTGTTCGTCCCCTTAGTATGATTGGTCCAACTGAAAAGTGCACATTCTTCAAAGAGCAGTTCTTCCGGGGAGAACGCTGTGCTCTGGTTGACCTGGAAACAGCAGCATCACTGTAACTGAGGACAAAATGGGAAACCTGATCCAATCAGGAATGATAAAACAGGAAGGAAAACAAACAAGTATCTAAAATAAGAATGTATGTGTGTATATATATAGATATATAATGCTTATTCATATGTACATACACACGCACACACTAGAAGCATTAAAATGAGAGTGTGCTGTTTTTAAAGTTGAAAAGAGAAATGTTTTCCAGACTATTACTGGGGAAGCAGTAAAATAAGCTTCTATTATTTCTCTTGCTTTCTTTTTCATTTAAAATGATACAATATATGCCATCAAGATGGCTCGTTGAGAAAAAGTACTTTCCACGCAAGCCTAATGATCCAGGTTTGATTCTAGAAACCATGTGAAAAGGCAAGACAAAGTGATGCACATCTGTAACACCAACATTCCTCCAGCAAGAAGGAAGATGGATAGGAGACAATCACCAGGGTGCCATTGGGCCAGCTAGCACTGAGCACACAGTGTGACAGAAGCAAAAGAG